ATAGCCTAAGTTTATAAGTATAATTTACTGATAATTTTTAGCTATATTTTATTATACACAGAGTGCGATTTTGCTAATTTCATCTCTGTCGATATCATTTTTGAACTATGATAACTATTATTTTGTAGACAACCATGGTTTCTGATTCTAATAAAACTTATTCCAATTTTGGTTTATTATTAAATTTAAATAATAAAAACTTTCATATTCATTTTTTTAACTCAGGATTTCGGATTTATATAAAGTTAATTTAAAACTTAATTATTCCTTTAACTTGTTGTATATTGATATACACATTTTAAAGTTTAGGTAATAGCTACTCATAAAAATATCGTGGGTGTATATTATCAATTATGTGTATTATAATATTTATAGTTGGTGAAAGATATATTTGAGGATAATCTAAACTGTGAGTCATCCTGTATAGATACAAGCTGTAAATACCCACTTTGATATACGTCATGTTTTTCTCTACCTTGGTACAAAATCTTCTCAAACAAATATATTATTTACCGAAACTATAAAGTGAATAAGAGAGTAGTTGTTTGACTAGTGAAAGCGGGGAAAGGGACGTAGTGCAAACAATATTTTCTTTGCTTTCATCCCAAAGGCACGAGGGCGCGTGACGGAAATTGTTATAAATGATTGTTATTGTATAGATATAAACGTGCACTTATATATTAGTTGATTTTAATTAACCCGTAAAATAACATTGTGTGCATTTCAGTGGCGGCTCGTGAACCGCATGAGGGGTGAGGCGGATATTTTCAAAAAGGAATAAGAGAAAAAATACTTTTAAAATATATAAATGAGTTTCAAGTTAGTTTTCAAAATAATTCAAATAATATTTAATTCTAACCTTTAGCAACAAATAAATAATTAACCAAGAATAAAGTATATTTTATTATCTTAAAATAAAGTCAACTATAAAAAAAAAAATACTTATCACATAAATCTCATTTATTAAAACAAAACAAATATCTTTTTTATACTATGTTTTATAAATTAGATCTATCTTCCTGTCTTTGAGTAATGTAAACTACACGACGTTACGACAACCTCCCTGTTCTTATTTCTATTAGTGGAAGTTATACCGCTTTGACAAACGACTAATGGAGAATTTTGACATACTCTGAAGCCCGTATCGTTCAGCCTCATTTTATAATTTATTTCGGCATTTTTTATTCTATTTGAAATTTTTTTTTTATTTTTAAACATTAATTTATGCGTGAATTTGTATTTTTATATCAAAATCGATGCGCTGTATAATATATTAATAATATATACAATGTACCTACTCACGATTATCCGAGTAATAGGGTGGCCCGGATAAGTAAATTCCACTAAATTCAATACATAATTATATTATTAATAAATTATAAATACATTTTGTAACGCTATATATGTAGTATAGTATAGGATAATTAAATTAGAACACTTAATTTTTATTTAAAAATGCATATAATATGACGTTTAATATTTATTACTTATAGGTACTACATATTTATTTTTTGACAAAAAAATCTATAACAAGTTGTTTTTCTATTTGAAAATACTTCTTTTTAACTTGCAATTGAAATTTTTTTAACAAAATATTGTCACAGAGATTTGTATCGTCTATTTTAGGTAACACAAATTGAAATTACGAAAATGCAGTGGTACTGCACAATATGCTAGGCCTAAGTAACGATCAAATGCAATAGTCGTTAAAGCAAATAGCAAATAAATAATTTTTCTATACATAATAGGTACATATTATGTATATAATAAACATCCGTGAATCGGTCTAACTAGATTATGATCACCGATAACTCTATAACCCGAGCTTTACGTTAATTGCATTTGATTAACCATTTGTATTAAGAATACACCGTATTATAATTCATAAAAATGAACATTTCTATCGCTTATAAACTATAATTAAATATAAGTACCAACTATTAATTATAAATAGATTTTTTACATGTTAAATGAATATAAGACACTTCTTGGCGTAATTATTAATAACAATTTATAACCATCACACGGCATGTAGAACAATAACATTTTTAATTGGTTCTATTAAATAGGTAAAATATCTTCCAAAGATTAACTTAAATTTAACTTAGAAATAAATTAAACATAACTCTTAAAGTCTTCATTGGGTATTATGATTATTACAATGTACTAGCTCAGTATTAATAATTTATAATAATAAAAATAAAGCTAGTATACAACCATTTAATAAATGTCTAAATGTAAATATGCTGTCATTGCTTTAATCATGTATAATTGCTTCGATTATTAAAATTACCTCTTTTAAAAATATTCTTAAGTTATAGTACTTGTTAGTAAGTTTGGATAACTATACAGCCATTAAAATTTTTAAATACCTAATAAAAAAACAACAATAATTACGTAATATACGATTATTACCTCATATTAACATATTATCATATTTAATTACTTAAATTAAACACGTTTAAACATCGAGTCATGTAAACATTTGAAAATTACTGTTATTATATACGGTGACACAGTATCACATTATAATACTGTTTATAGAAGTTTTACTTATTTTTAACATTACTAAATAAACACTGCCAATATTTCAAACGAAAATGTACAATTAAGTTCTCAAATTCATGTAGTACGCGTACATTCTCGAAAATATTTTTTTGGTATATTACCTGTAAAGTGTAATTACAAAAATGTATTTGTACGACAAGCTATAGCTGCAGAGCTACAGGTAAACTCAATTGAAACTCATTTATAGAAAATTAAGACATGTAATTATGATATTGTAATTGAATACTGATGACCATTATAATGGTTGTATATCTATTAAAACTGTGTTAAATTAAAACCATAGGTGTCGGCTATACAATATTAAAATTACATTTCTAATCACCATGTTTTGAAAAAATGACTTGGTCACAAATTCCTAAAATGTTAATATTAATTACAAACAATAATTGCTGGAGCGTCCGTACAAAACATAATTAATACATATATATATATATATATAATATGTAAATGGCACTACGTAAGATGCAGAAATAATAACATATTAAGCATACTATGTTTTTAATGATAAAAATAGGCAGTCGCGTCGACCATACATCTCTTTTGATAATAATACCATACCAAACTACCGAGTGGGGTACCTATATGTTTTCGAATGACAAGTGTCAGAACTGTTATTTGTTCGAAAATTCGTATAAACGAAATAATATATTAAATATCATGAGTTGTATCATGAGAGCACATGAGTTGGAACTAGCCTATTTGCATTACTCAGGAGACACCACGTGGATGTTGGCTAGAATATCTCCCAAAAATTGTGTTTTTTGTTACATTAAGGTATAGATTAGATTCATTTTAAAAAATAAAAATATTATTGGTGTACCAGCTAAGGTCGCACAGGTAATTATTCAACGTGTAATCTGGTGACTCTGATATAGCCGAGTATCGCACCGTTGTGGCCGTTGACCCTTACCAAGCGAAGAAGGGTAATTGTACTTCGGCTAATTTTTCGACTTTTGACAGGTGATATAGGCGAATATTATCGCACCGTGAAAGATCGTTAACGGATTTTTTTATTATTTTTATTATTGTATATGGGCACCTCATACGAGTAGATCAAGAATACCTAATGCCATTGTAATTATTACCACTTACCTATACGCTATAAATTATTAGAATAACAATTTAATATTTATTATCATTTAGTAATTTTTTCGTAATATAAAATTAAGAACATTTTTATTTTATAATTATTAATTATCTACTGTACCCTCTAAAATCTTTTTTTTTTAAATTTTTTCAAACGCATATAAAATATATATTTATACTGGAGATAAATATGGGCCCCAAAAATCAGTGGACTCTCGGACTGTGCTCCCCTTGGCTCCCCATTAGTCCGGGCTTGCTTTCAATAGGCGTCAGTCGTAAAAATGTCGTTCGAAAAACCAGTCACCCATTGCTTGACCGAACACAATAATAATATATTGTATGAGTTCTTGGACCTTTATCTGAAGGGCGCACCGGTATTTATTATATTATGTATAACATGAATATTGCCCTCTCACTCAATTATCCTGGGGTAGAGCGTAAACGTTTGAACGACAGGTAAAATGTATTATGATATTATTAATTATGAAATGTTCCGTCGCAGTCAATATGCACCTAGGTTAAAGAATAAAAATTGTTCTATAGCATGTTATGTATAAATAATTATGGATCACTGACATACTTATTGATATTTACATTTCATCCATGTCAGTCAATAAGGTTATTAAATAAACGAATATGAGTAAATTATATATTTTTCAGTCATGCAAATAAAAAGTAATAATGTAGTGTAAAAGAAAAGTAGACAGTGAATATCGCTCTGATATATAGGTTTAGGGTGGTTCACTGTAATGATGAATTAAATTTTTATTCAATGTTATATCGTTGTATATGAAAAATGATTCAGCCTATACTGCTAAGTACTGAGTACTAAGTGTATTTTATTATGTATAAAAGTATATTTATACCATGGTAATTTAATTTATTATTATTATTATTATTATTTTGATAGATTTATTTAATTTTTGACGAAAACATTACATTTATTATATTATTTATATTTAATTTTAATTATAACATACATAATGGCTTTTCTTATCCGTAAAATTTGATGTTTCACGTCAGCCAGCTATAGAGTCAAAACAAAATATCGTATGGTGACTGGACTGGTGACATCTATTCTTAAGTAAACATTTTAGCGTATGTTATTTGCTACTGCTACAACACAAAGCAATTAGTGTTCGAAAAAGATTATTAGTAGAACCAGAGCGCATTTTTGTGAATCATGGTAGGTTCTAATGCTACGTAGTGAGGACGTCCCCCACCTTACTTACCGATGATAATGAGTTATAACCTATACTCAATATACCAATATATTGCCACTGTACAGAAAATATACATTATTGTTACGGAAGCCACCAACACGTTTCGTTTGTTTGTTTACGCTACTACGACTATAATCTACAACTGTACCCAGGACGATTTTTTTGCAGCAACTGGTTCAAATCAAATAATCTTGTTAAATTGTTGAGGTAATTTTTATTTTTTAATTATTTATTAGTTATTTCCATAAATGTAGTAAAAAGGTACTCCACTAGTCCATCATACTATATTCTGTTAAATGATACTCTATGACAAAATAATGGGAAAATGTATATTTGACTCAATAGTCGCGATGCGTTATGGTATTATTGTGCTGTAGAGCTTCGGCGAGAGTTATAAAAATAGATAGTGTTACTCTACTAACGTGGGTATATGGTATATACTATGTACGGATTATGGAAAATTCATATCAAATAGCCATCGCTTATCAGAATTTAAAATATAAAAATAATATAAAAAGAATTATTAATTAAATTGTCAATATAATTTTGTTTTCGTGTATAGATAATGAATATACTTCTCATATTACTCTACAATATTTCCAAGTTTATTTTTCTATCTATACTTCAGGTCAACGGACCATTTAGCTTCTAGGCCACTGGATTTTTCCAGTATCCCGGTGTGCCACTCCGCCCCTGCATTATATTTGTCTGTTTTTATTGTGTCCTGAAAATTGTTTTTTAAATCATTTTTTCCCTACAAATGTTATAAATTCTTAATCTTTATTTAAATACAAAAAATATCAAGATATGAACACAACTATTTTGCTCAAATTAACCGGTCTATAAGCCTATCATTTCTCTCACATTGTAGTCAGTAATCGTCGTACCATCCTTGTATTACATCTACATGGTGAATTTTGCACCAACCAGTTTATTGGATCAGCCTGTTCCACCGCTATCGTTATGGAAATAAATGATAGATATTTGATTATCTATTACCAATATAAATGTTATTTATAATTAAACTTACTTACTTGTATAGTTTGTTTTTATTATGCCGAAAAACAGTTCCAAACAATACTTTTTAAAAGCATATTAAAATTTTCAATTTTAGTAACTGAAGTTTAAAAATTGAACATAAGGTTTCCCATAAATTTTTCTTACGAGAATCCAGAAATCAAACTAAAATAGGTTTATTTAACATTTTTTAAAGACATTTCAATTTTGAATTTTGACGAAAATTGTTATAAAAAAAAAAAATTACAGTTTCAGTTATATATTATATAATGGTATTTCATAAAACATTTTATTTAGAGACTTGAAACTTTTCCCCTTTATGTTATTATTTACTCTATGAAATAAACATTTTAAAATATTTTTATTAATTTTTGCATATTTTTTATGACGAACTCATATTTTACCATTCTATATAAAAATAATATTTTGTGATTAAATGTGATTTTTTTTTTTTTTTTGGCAAAAATTAGTTTAGCCTACCGTGTAACTAATAAAAAATTACGAGCTTAATGAAATATTCTTAGACATATAGGATGACATACCGTTTCCACTCAGAATCGTTATTCATTTACTTTAGTTGTTCGTAACGATTTATCATTGAATTCAAATTTAATACATCTATTATTGTGACTTGCTTAACGTCTGATGAGTTATACTCGACATATTCTATAAAACAAAGCAATGACTTCCCCTGTTTTATTAAAAATTGCATTCAACGATATTTGTTATACGTTTTATTACTCGTGTTATAAAATAATTTGCGCTTAATATATTTTGAGTTCGTTTATTATTATTTTATTAACTTCGTACAATAATAGATGTAATTTTTTTTTTAGATGAGTGGCACAGAAAATATATACGATTATCAAATGTTAGCATTAGACAATCATCCTTGTCTAGCAATACCTATCGATCGGTATGAAATAGCTATCCAACTTTGGCAACTTTTTATGGAACTTATACATGAGGATGAAGGCAATAATTTTAACGGAATTCAATGATTTAACACATTAATTACGATAACTTCCTTTTTTTTTTAATTTGTATATTTTCTATGTAAGGAGCTCCTTTCACTGAAATATAATTATATAAAAATATCAAATATATAAAAAAACTTATTATTGCATTTTGTCAGCATTGGATTTTTAGTTTTATAAGTTATTAATAATATCTAACTATTAAATTGGATATTAAGGTATAGTCGGTTGATTATAGTATGTCAAAGACCTAACCTCTATTTTAATTATAATGTTCTAGATCCACGTTTATATTCAGTTAAATTAAGTTATAATTAATTTTGTATAGTTTTATGATATTTTAGAATGTCTATCGTATATTCATATAATTCGTATATAGGGTATTATAATAATATTAAATATTTACATAATATTTTGTTTTATAAATTTGTTTTAAAAACTAATAAAATACAATAATATTATAAACATTATGCAATGAGTTTGGTTTTTGGAGACTTTTGAAATTTTGTGCCGTTGTAATTTTGACTATTTATAAGCTTTAAATACCTACATTATACATTAATTATTAATTTGATAATTGATTTTTATATCTAATTATTTCAATGAATCTGAACTAATGTTTAGTTTAGATGCATTTCCTTAATAAGCTGTTGATAAAAATTACATAATTTGTTTTTTATACAACAACAATGGTATATATTTTAACTGTATGTTTATACGTATTATATAAAAATATTTTATACCTATATTAGGTAGCTCGTAAATATAAGAATTTACGATGTACGGTGATCTATCATTTTTAAAATCCTCTCGAACCTAAGGAAATATTAAACTTAAGATCATATTGATCCAAAGATTACGTATAATGATCTAAAGATTACACTGATGAGTAAATATTACTGTTTATTCGTGATATTTCTCCCCAATTATTTTGAAAATTCTATTTTGAGCCTAAATTATTACTTAGAAATATATAAATTATCATAATTAAATAATTCTGTAATTTTGTAGCAAAAGTTTATATTGACCCTTTATTAGTCACCATATTTTCATAATTAATAGGTAACTATTATACACTAATTTTATGAATTGTATATCAATATTTATGAAGTTATTGGAAATGGAAATTGTAATTTTTTGTCATATAATAAAAGTAAACACCTAGAATAGTGAGATATACGTGACTGCTATGAATATAATGTGATCTTTTTATAAAACATATTTTGTGAATATTTAAAAAGACAGTTAAACAAATATTGTAAGCACTTTGTATTTAAATTTTATTTAGTTAGCCGTAATCGATAATACGAGTATATATGATCGTATTTAAATAGATAGTTGTATTTCATATTACTAACAATAATATTAATTGATTTATAAAAGTTCAATAAATATTTAAGATACCTCTATATTATATTATTAAGGAATACTTAAAAAAACAACAGTTTTTTTATATTTGTTAATAAGTATATTTTCAAAATTATAAGCCTTTACGTTTTACATTCCATCGTTAGCCATTTGCATTGGGTATAAAAATGACTACGTAATTATTTAATTTCATAAAATATTAAAAAAAAACATTTATATGTATAATTTTTTTAATTTACATTTATATTTTTTTCTTTATAAATAGTTAAAACTTAAGTGAATTATATTTTTTCAAAATCAAAAACATTGATTAAGAATAAAATGTCTAGTTGGTCAAATTGTGTCTTGTTTCACATTGCCTCGAGTTAGATTAGGTTGAAACTTATTGCATTTTACAGTTATAACAGAGGCTTATTTTTGCATAATCGTGTTGAAGATCCTATCTTACTGTCTACTGACGTCAATCCATCAAATAACGACAAATCACGCGCGAGTAATACGTACTAATAATATAGTAATATGTGGTTTGAGAGTTTAATATAGCGTAAAATTCCAATTTGGTAACTCAGATTATTACCGTCACACGATGTATAAGTGATATCGTTTATAGGGTGTTTGATAAAAGGACGAGGTTGTATAGCTTGGAGGACAAGAATTTATATTTATTTGTAAATTAATTAAACCATTACAGGTAAATACATTTATAAAATACGCTGCTATTCCAGATGGGTGATCAGTTATGACCGTAATTAATATATTATTACAATATAATGCCCGGCTTTTAGAAGATCTCCTCTGTCTTTCGCAATTCAAACACATTCAACGCATCGATGCGCTTAATCGGATCTAGCGTTTTCAAATTAAATTGTTAATTAGGAATTTATTACGTATCGACAATCTTATACATACCATCGTAGGAACGTAATATTGTAGTTCAATAATGTAAGGTCTAATAATATAGATTAAATCTATTGAATACACGTTGTCGGTCAACCCTACGGAAAAGTTCGACAATAAATCGCGCGCAACTAATTCGCAGTGATCGATGATTCATTTGATATGCTAAAAGCTTAAGTTGATTCGACGGGTTAATTTCCGTTCTGTCGACTCGGATGCGAGCCCAGCGTATTATGTGAGTGTTATTATGTTTTTCAAACGTCACACACGGTTAGATTCGGACCAGTCGTGTGAGGTAGATTATATGCGGTTGAATATCGAAATTGCTTTTCGTTACCACAGGGAACGTCGCAGGTTGATCGATGGATATACGACAGGGATTACTATTAATACATAAAACATCACATTTTTTTTTAATTTTCGTACCATCAAAGCATACAATAATATACTGAATTGAATTATGCTAAAATATAGAATTATGGCTACCTTGCTTATAATATATTTATACTGCGGTGGGGAGCGGATGAACGGACGTATTGGTTGTCCACATATATATAATTAGTAATTACTATTCAGCAATTATTTAAACCAGACAAAACGGTTATTAAAATGTTGGATTGTCGAATAAAAACAAATAAACGTACGTTAAATGTTGGGATTCCGAAATGTTTGATCTTTTACTCCATAATGTTTAAAAATATTTTTGTCTTTTGAATATTAATACTAACTATCCATCACGGTACCTAGTGTATAGTTCGTCTGATAAAGCTTAGTAGGATTTCCGTGCTTTAGGATCCGCGTATTTCGATATGCGTCATTTCCAGTGTACATCTCTAAAAACATGTTTTACAAAATACATTTTTTTCAATTTTCGTACTTTGTAATCGTAAGTTTTATTATTCGTGATAACCGTCACCGCGAAATACTCTTTATCATTATCGTCCCGTT